ATTTGTAATTTTGGGCTTACTAGATTGAATCTCAATTACTAACTTGTGGCTTAAATTACTGAAATCTTTTAGTTGTGAATTGGTACCCTCATCTTGTGCTTTCCTTTTTCTATTAGACCAAACCACATATGTAGTCATGTTTCTTGATAGTTTGGTTGCTGATATAAACCACATAACTTTCACATGTCACTATTTTAGTATTCAGTTACAGTGTCAGAGAGCACCTAAACCATATCAGAAAATTAGAAAAATGGCAAGTAGGACATTAAGAGAATGATCCAGTTGAAGTGGAGGATTCTTCTTATGAAGATTGAGACTCCTCCTTCTCAGCTGACCATTTCATGGTCATCCAGGTTCTATTATCATTTTTTTGAAATCTCACATGTCTCTTTTACTTATATCACTCCCTACTATATAAAGTTTTGTAATTGTTGTGAGGACACAACTACCTTTTAAGTTTGGGGTGGGGTATACAAGGTATACAAGCTGATTTGATTGGTTTGCATGCTGAGAATATGTATAAAAAAAAAATTGAACTTGAACAGTAACCATTCTTTGATTTATCTATACATTAACTCAACTATGTTGATCTTACATATCTTATTAACTCTGTCTATTCCATTCTAAGTTGGTTAATTAGCTATGCATCATCCATGTTACACTTCATGAAAGCAGTCCTAACATAACTCAACTTAGTTCATATTATATCACTGACTAAAAACCTTTGTGAGGATTTGGACCCAAACACATATACTTTCTTGTTGAGTGGTCACTCTACATTGGGGTTCTTAACCTACATTACACCTAGGTGACTAGTGTGATTATTTTCATGTGATAAGGGCACTTGTTTCTAATTGTTTAGCCTAGAGCCAAAAAGCTTTACCTTTTTCATTAATTTTAATCCCTTGATCTCTTATTTGAGCCTGAACCTTTTCTTTTCTGTTTACATAACCATGATTTCAAAAGCCAATTTCCCCGATCCATCCTTTAAGCGAGCCTTAGTCTTTAATTAATTCTCACTAGGCTGCAATGCAAAAAAAAAAAAAAAAAAAAGTAAGGCAAAAGGGAAGCTAGATGGAAGAGAGTGGTTATAAAAAAGAAGAGAAATATAGAAGGTGATCAAAAAGAGATCAGTAAAAAAAAAGGAAAAAATAAAATAGAAAATTCCCTGTATAAAAAAAAGGAAAGTGAAAAGTTGAGGCTGGAAATAATAAAAAAAGGCAAGTAGGAAAGGAAGTTAAAAAAAAAAGTAAAAATAAAAAAGGCAGCTTCCCTTTAACTTACTTAGACCATATTTTGCAAGCTTAGTTGTGGATTAATTAGACACTTAAGGCCAGCCAAAATTAGCCAAGTGTTCAGAAAAACAAATATCCAAACACAGCCACATTACAAGTCTAAAAGGGAAATGCCACATTAGACATCACGTGTCTAGGCAATATTGTATGTTAGGCAAAACAATGTAGAGTTGATGAAGAGTGATTATCCTTAATAAAAAAGAGGGATGAGTAATAAAATGCCTTGTGAGGAACTCAGTGTATGACATTGAACTAATATGAAATATGTATAGTGACTGTTTGATGTGCTTTGTAACATAGTGTGTTGTTTGCTTAATTTAAAACTTGGCTTGGACTAAACTCTTGGCTGGTATTGATACTAAAAGACAATATGATTGAGTGATGTTAATGGTTGACATATACTGTGATAAATGGAGAATTAGACTGCAAAAAAAGAAAAAAAACCATTACATTTCTTGAATGCTGAAAAAGAAAAATGCTAATAATGTACTCACTAGTTAATATTTTCTTGATTGCTTGAGGATAAGCAATTGCCTAAGTTTGGGGTATTTTGTTAGCTATGAATTATGCTTATTTTAATGGCTTTATTCTTACAATATTTGAGTTGAAGATTGGTTATAAGTGCAGGTAATGGGCCAAAATGAGTACAAATCAGCCCAATAAGGTAAAAGAGAGAGAAAGAGATAATTTGATGATTTACTATCCTCTTTTACTATTTTTACTGCAGTTAGAGAGCCATATGAGTTACGTTTTGGAAGTGAAGTAAAAAAAAAGGGATGAGGATCCTCGGATGCATTTTATGATCAAATGGACAGCAACGATCTTGGCTTTTGGAGATAAAAATAGGAATTTTCATTTCTTTGAGAGAGTCAGTTTTAATTTTTTTTTCTAGTTTTACAAAGTCTGAGTTTTTTTTTTTACATTGTAAGTAAGTTTTCTCTCTTCTCTGTAAGTAAGCGAATGTGAAGCTATCCTTGGAAGAACACCCAAGAACCTTCAACATCTTTCAAGTTCCGATCTAAGAATTCAGCATTGATAGCTAAGCTTTTCTTTTACTTACGTTTATCTAGATAATGGTCTGTAATTTCTACTTGAGATCTATTTTCTTTATATTTTGTAATGCATGTTAATTTCAGTTCAGGTTTCCTCTTTTTTTTTGTTAATACGAATTTCTAGTTCCTTTCTTTTTCTGGGTTTATCAAAATGATTGGATGAATTTTTAGTGTGCATTGTTACTGTTCTTTATTTTATTCATTTGATACTTTCATCTTTTTAACTCAAGAAATTCATGGGAATGGAACTTGAGTTTTTCAACAAAAAGAAATTGGGGAATGGATTTTTGTTAAGTGTTAAATGAACTATTTTAATTAGGAATAATCAAAGGTGATTTCTGATATAAATTTCTATAAAGATTCAAGAAGTTTTGAGAAAAGTTTTTCTTGAACCTTATTGTTGAATCTGGAAAGTTTCAGCTAAACTTGCTGTAGTAACTCAAAAACTGAGATAAACTTGCCACAACAATGTACGAATTTGCAGTATCGCAAATATTTTTGTCATCCATGATTTGAGATATACCCAGAAATCTTTTAATATTGATAAATCAATTCTTTACTTTTTAGATTAACTTTAATGCATCATAAAAATTATATAAAAATTCTTGTTCTACAACCAATTAAATTCCAATTTTAGAATTTTTAATCCGGAAAATAAAAAGAAAATACTTCAACCTATTCGCCAGAAACGATAACTCTTTCTTTGAAAAATTACTACCAACAATAACCATATCTCAAACAAGCCAATAAGGACATCCATTTTATTCATTGGAAAATGCAACTACTACTTCTTGTCGTTGTTGTTGTCCTTTTGTGCAGCATGCAAACCAGCAAAATAGCCCTGAGGGTTTTTGTCAAATTCATCCCTGAAATGTACGATCCATCTCCACCTGGAGCTTTCATCACCTCAGCAGAAGTAGAACCCTTACCAATGTTGTCTTTAGGAGTATAGTTTCCACCTCCAGCTGTGCCGGTAGCACCACCTCCAACACTGCCACTACCTTTGTGGTCCATAATCCAAATCAGTTTAAAAGAACTCTAATATTTTTAAAAAGCTTCAGGGCAGGGTATGTCTTAGAAATTGAGCTGGTTTTGGCTATTTATAGAATAGAATTGGTTTCCGATACTTCCCAAAGCATTCATGGTTTCATGCATACTGCCAGGAAAAATATTAAATGCATTTGACTATAACTTCAATTTTCATTGATATGTATCAATTCTCAGCTTTCATGCACCCAATTGTTTTCAATTCTGATATTTACTGATCAATGTGTGACTGGTGGCGGTGGGTGTTAAATTAATGCACATATAATATATCCATGAGTGGCTTGGATTCTCTAAACGTGGGAAAAAGATTAGAAAGGAGAATTTAATACTGATAATTAGTCAATTCTAGTAAGTAAAATGTAAGCTAGTTAATTACTGTAGTTGAGTTTCCATTTCGTTCTTTGTTCTCTGGATTTTGGCCTTAGATGGTATAGTGAAAGTGGATTTTCCTTTTTCGTCAATATCCTCTGTAACTAATTTGCCTATTTAAGATTAATGGAATTCGCATGAACAGAAACATGAGCCTTAACAAGATTGAGACACTTTCAATTCAGAAAAAACTCCTAAGGTTTTATTTGTTGCATATCGAGGAAGAGTACGACCAGGACACTATAACACACGTGGTTGAGTCAAGAATAACTGTTGTATTATCAGGACTAAATTTTTTGTAATATCCATGAATAGAATAATATCAAATTTATTATAACATGCTTCTAGTTCTTATAGTTTTGTCGACCCCTGTATACTTCTGTTCATGCTTGTCTGTGTTGCAATCTGCTGCTTAATTTTCCCTTTTAGGTAGCATGTCGATTTTGACTAGCTTCCCTAAACACCCCCTACCATTACCGTACCAATAATAACGTTGTAAAAGACAAAGACTGCGAAGACTAATTCTAACTTAGTAAATGGTAATAGCCGAAAAGAACTTGCACAGAGCCTAAAGCTCTCTTCTCTTAATCCACACGGAAATATTTCTTTACACCTCAAACTCTATACCAGAATAACACCTGATGAATTAATTATTAATAATCCTTATCGTTTGATTATCAAATTAATAATATTTTTAAGTAAAGAAATGAATATTAAATATTATTAATTAATAATTAATTCATTGCTAGCTAGGTGAAGAATTACCTGAACAATACCCATTATACCGAAGTACAGATGCTGTAGTCCCCTTTGAATTTGCCACAATGGTCTTACACGTGCCTACCTAACATTCTATTCTATAATCTATTATTGCTACTTCACCGTTCATTCGTCCCGTTCGTCAAATACACCAAGTCTACATTGATCCTTTATTTAAATCACAAATGGTTGAACAACTCGCTATATATACATATATTGTTCTATTTATTTTATTTTTTTCAAAAAAGAAGAAGCAAGAACCAAATACACAATTACCAAATATCCATACAAATTAATTATCATGTATTCCTTTGTAGACAAAATATAAAAAAGTAATCAATATATCACACGCTAATTTGTTCTTTCCACAAATTACTTTGTACAGATTTGATAAATACTAGACAGCCACCACCTCAGATCAATTTTGAGGTGCTGGGTAAATCTACTAAATCTCTATTTAACTTAAATAGATACGAATTAATAATTAACATCATCAAGGATCTAGCTAGCACACTAATAAGTCTTCTCCTTCCTTCACCTTGACCTAATCGGTTCCTCATTTATAGTCTCCAAAACAGGCTTCCTTGATCTACAACAATTTAACCTATATTGAAACCCCGAGTCCACACCTTCCAAACTCAACCTTGGAACAACGTTGTTCTCAACACTCATCGCTTCTGAACTCTCCTCTGCAGATTTATCTTGCTGCCCCCCTCTGCCGCCGTTGTCCGGAATGACACGTACCTTTCCGGCGGATATCCGTTTGGCGGCGGAGTTCGCCGCCAAGAAGAACACCGCCATGTCAGCCGCCGTGACGACAGAGTTAACTCTTCTCATGGGAAATAAGATATACACGTTCCCAAACTCTAACTCCTCGTCAGCAGCAAGAGCAGAGAACCTTCGACCGATATGAAGAGATCGAGAATTGGATAAGAAATAGTTGGGGTGCTCCAACATAAGCTCCGCAGCCTTCAGAATGTCCCTGAACTGCTTCACTTCACCGGTGGGGAGGATCACCCTCGTGGCTTTTGCGTTCTTCATTAATGGAGGTGCCAAGGTGCATGAAATGTAATTGCCCATTACGTGGAACGAGGAGAAGATAAAAGCTTTAATGTTTCTTGGAAGAGAAAACGGAGAAGAAAAAAAATGGAATTTGATAGAGGTTTTGGTTTGCGTGGCTGAATGCGAAGTAGTGTGTCTTTATAAGGGGAAGATTTTTATTATTTTAATTTTTGTGGGAAGGGTCAATGGAAAAAATATTCAAATAGTGAATAGAAGAATATTGAAGTTGCACGTTGTTCTCAAATATCATGTGCGTGTGTCAGTGACAGAATTGCTGACTAGTGTGTATGCGTGTCCGTGGAGGTTGGTTTGGATTGGTAAGATGAGACAGTGGGAATGCGCGTTGGGTTGGGTATGGTTCAAACTTCAAAGTATTTGGGAAAATTGGTAGAAGGTGCAGCGCGCAAATATGTTTGGTCTTGGGCTCTTGGCCTTTAATTTGTAGATAGTTTAATTTCGTGGCTGATATGGCTGTCACACAGTTACAACTTACACGGTTGAAATTTCGGTGTAAAGGCGAACGCGCCTTGGACCGAATGGTGTCTGGCTGTTTCAAGCTCGCCCCACTTAGGGTCAGAGTATTCGCGATCTGGATTAGATCGATTTTGTAAGTAAAACTCATCTGATCTAATCTCTTCGGTTTTATCATGTAATCATTTATTCGGTTGGGATTTTTTTCAAATCCGATCCAATCCAATCCAATTTTTTTCGGTTTAGATTGGATCGGTTTTCGATTTTTTAATATCCTAAAATTATTTTCATGATTATTGTGCAAATAACATCTTTTGTATATATTGGTTTTGTAATTTTTTTTTAAAATATAAAAATATCAGTAAACGATACTATACTTTTTTTTTTTTTTGCAATGAGATATGAAGCTCTACACAGATAAAATTTTGTTAATGAGACGTGACTAGGTTTTTTCTTGGGTTTAGTTGATGAGTTAACTAGTCTTGGGTTTAGAAATTTTTGGACTATGATTGGGGAAAGGACCAAGTGGGTTTATAAATTTTTGGACTATGATTGAAGAAATGACCAAATAGGTAGAGGGAAATTAATATATTGGATCGGTTTTCATCAACCTATCCGAAAAACGATCAAATTCAATTAAAATTTGCGGTTTTTTTTCGGTTTTCGATTTTCGAATTTTTCGGTTATCGATTTTTTGGTTCGATTTTTGCGGTTTGGATCAGTTGATGACCACCCCTAACTAGGCGTGTAAATGGGCCAGGCTGGCCCAGCCCAGCCCAGACCCGGCTTTTCAGAAAAGTAGAGTAGGCTTAGGCTTATAAAAAAGTTTTTTTAACAAATAGGCCATAGGCCAATTTTGTCAAGCCCAACCTACAGCCTTGTAGGCTGGCCTATTTAATTTATTAAAATAAAATAATATTTATTTTATGTGGCAAAGACGCAAAGTACCAAATATCAATATCTCTTACTTTTTGTGCTATTTTATTTTATGAAAGGAAAACTTGTCTAATGTCTCCAAATTTTACATGCTTTTGCAGCTTAATACCATGGAGTAATAGGTACCTTGCTGGATTATGATGTTACTGATGAAGATCTTTCAATAATACTCTTTATTTCAGCATCCGGTAATTGTATTTTTCTTATTTTCTCCATTTCTTTGACTCTATTCCTCTATGATATACATTCTAGAGCTGGGGTATTATGTTGACTCTTTCTTGTTTGTCATTTTTTTCTTAAGAGAAGTACTAGTGCATGCATGAATGGAACTTTCTTTGCTCTATACAATTATTTTTTTTGCTTAGTATCTACAGTGGGAGGCCTACAAGGCCTGTAGGCCATGTCAGGCTTTCTTATTTTTATAAATGGGTCGGACTTGGCCTACAAATAAAGCCTTTAGTAGGCCAATAGGCCAGATAGGCTGAATTTTTTTTTGACGTAGGCTTGGGCCAAAAAGGCTAAAGCCCAGTCCAGCCCAGTCCATTTACACCCCTACCCCTAGCCCCACTCGACTCGCCAACACAAAGTATAAAACTGAGCAAAATATTCATTTTATTTTTTATTTTCTTTTGCTTACTTAAGTTTTCGAGTGACACTCAAAGTTACGGGTGTTCATCAACCGATCCAAACCATTCAAACCGCGATAACCGAACCGAAAAACCGATAACTTAATAATCTATATAAGTTAATAAAAACTGAACCGAAAAATATTCATAATCTATATAAGTTAATAAGCTACAAACCATTTGCGTGTGAGAGTGAAAAAAAGAAGGACATTGATTGATGAGAACAAACTAGTTTTCTTTTTTTTTTACGAACCGGGCCGGGTCACCAATTTTTATAAAAATCGGTTGGGTCGTAGCGGGTCGCACCGATTCTATAACATGGATGGTTCAATATAAAAGTTGAACCTATTACATGATCGATTCACCGATTTTCGAGTTAACCCGTCTGGGCCGATCTGATATTTATAATATTGGTGACACTAATTGCTACATCATTCTTACATTTTTTTTATTTCCTATAGCTATGGGAAAAAAATATTATTTGTAGTGTCATTTAAGGATAAAAAACTCAAACCCTTCTCGTATTGACAAATTATAGTCCCACGAATTACGTGTATTAATTTTTTTTTTTGGTAAGCAATTACGTGTATTAATTAATTGATATAATTATTACAACTTAATTAATAAATTTGAATATGAATCCCAAATATAAAAGTACATAAAATAAACCTTGTAAAAAGAATTTTATCATCTTTATAATTCTGTCTGGCTTAAATTAAATTAGTCGAATAATTAATGATAAAAAACAAATTATTTGTACTTGTAAAAACCATATGATGTAACTCAAATTATTTGTTTATATATTTTAAAATTAGATATGGAGTGTTTTTAGTCAAAATTCAAATAAAATTAATTATAAAGGATTATTATTCTTATGAATCATCATATATATATATATATATATATATATATATATATATATATATGTAAGATGTATATAAATCAAATATTAAGATTAATATAAAACTTATTATTCTTAAACTAATATAAAATAATGATGCCTTGTGTATATATATAATCCTTTCATGAGTCTATAGCTTTAATTCTGGTCCTTAAGATGGAGATTTTTTTCCGAAACAAATGATCGTGGAATTAGGCTAAATAAAAGAAAAAAGAGAGATGTAAACAAATTAATTGAGGAATTAGTGTTTTTAATATTATAGGAGATAATGTTATTTCCTACACATACATAAAAATATATGGGGTTTATATTTTCTTTTTCTTTCTCATCTTTTCAAATGGCCTCATATATTTTTATGTGTATATAGGTATATAGGTGATTTTTTTTTTTGGATACAATATAGAAGATAATTTTCTCTATACTATAATATGAGAAACATTAGTTTTTGATTATATGATTTTGAAAATGATAGGCAAAATATAGTAGTAGCCAAACAACGACACATATATGAATTGTCTTTGTCATGATGGGCTACTGATTTGTTTAAGTCGGCCTTTCTGCCCCCCCTTAAAATAGAGGGTTTTTTTTACGTAATAAATGATTTCGAAATTAAGCTTATTAAAAAGAAAAAAGAGAGGAAGAAATTAATTGATTATATGGTTGTGAAAATGTTAGGCACATATAGTAAGTAGCCACACGTTGTTTGATAAAGGCAAGCTAAAGAAAAGAGGTAAACAAGTGTGAAATAGAAAGTGCAATTCAAAGATTCTCTCTCTCTCTCTCTCTCTCTCCTTTTTTGTTTTTCGGAACTGCAATTTCACACGAACGCAGCATAGTCACGAAACATAACTACAAATAATCGGAGTTGCCTAACCCAATTTTTAGTCTTAACGTAAATACTACAAATTTTAAAACATGCACTTTATTTGTTTTTTGGCTCTATGATTGTAACTTTTGTTTTCATTGACAAATTGCAAATTGCAGCATGCAGCATGCGAAGTGCTTAACTCGTTGCACTTTATTCATTGACAATTGCAGCATGCCAATCCATTCGCAAGTAATTTCATTGAAAATAAATCGTTAGATTTAACATTTATTTGTTTTATTGGCTCTGTGATTGTAACTTGTTTTCATTGGCAAATTGCAGCATGCAGCATAGCAGCATGCCAAATGCTTAACTCATTGCACTTCATTCATATATACTGACAATTGCAACATGCAGCATGCAGCATGCCAAGCCATATTGGTCAGTAATTTCTGTTGAACAAATGATTTTAAAATCATTTGAGAGGGATAATCTGTTTTAGAGAAATCACTTTAACAACACATACAATTTCATAAAATGTATACAAGAAATTGAAACATGCAATAATTTAAAGTTAAAGTGTACCATATGAAAATATATAAATATAATAAGGGAAAATCTGAGCCCAATATTAAACATTATGTCCTCAAGACAATATTATTTTCTCCGTGGTGCTCAAGATTTGTGGACAATTATCTTCCAGGATAGAACCGATTACTCTATTTTTATGGCAACACTTTCACATTGAATAACCCATCGAACTCAATTAACGTCTGACCAATCGCACTAGAGTTGAAGAACACAAATGCAAAGAATCACTACAAGAAAACTGGTATTTGGAGGCTGTTTATTCGAGGCGGTTTCACTTAAACCGCCTCCAATCGATACTTAGAGACGGTACTTCCGGCGGTTTAATTAATTCGAGGCAGTTGAAGTGAAACCGCCTCCAAATGTAAATTAGATGCGGTTAAAATAACCGCATCCATTTACCATTCAGAGGCGGTTACATTGAAACCGCCTCTAGTTGCTACCTTTAGAGGCGGTTAAACCATAACCACCTCCAAATGTATATTAGACGCTGTTAAAATAACCGCCTTCATTGACCATTTAGAGGCGGTTGAGATATAATCGCCTATAAATCTAGCAATTAGAGGTGGTTTCAATGTAAACGCCTCTGAATGGTAAATAGAGGCGGTTATTTTAACCGCCTCTAATATACATTTGGAGGCGATTTCACGTCAACCGCCTCAAATATACATTAAAGGTGGTTAAAATAACCGCCTCCAAAGCATATTTAGAGGCGGTTCATGATCTTTCGGACAGTGAGATTCAAAGAAGAAAATCTCTTTGTTCAGC